GGGAGGAGGACCGGGCACGCTTGTTCACGCGTTTTGCCTGAAAGGCTTCATTTCCACGGGGGGGGGTGGTGGTGGTGGTGGTGTGTGTGTGTGACCTCGCCTCCTGGTCGCCCTACGTGGCCAGGAGCAGGTTTCCCTTTGATCAGTGATGCTCTGCTACAGGCTCTTTCATTTCGTTTTTAAGCAATTAAATACCATATGTAAAAATATATTAATTCTCAGCTGCAAGGATTGAGTAACTTCGTGTGCCTAAAATAAGCCCTTTGACTGCAGAGTCCCTAACCTCTAATTAACGCAAGTGACCGTTGGGTACAGGTGTCTCTCAGCGTGTAGGAGCAAGTCTGTCACGGTCCTGCTGTGGACACTCCACACGATGTTGTATGTCGGCGCAGCGGGGTCGGCCTCTACCTTAGTGGTTTGTAACCTGGCAGGGCAAGCAGAATCGGTTGGTACGTAGGAAGGAGCTGTTGGGATACAGAGCGGGAACGCCCAGCCCCAGATGCCCTCGGAAGCCTGCGGCAGCGGCGATAGCCAAACGCAGATTTCATGTTTTGAGGGACAGTACCTTTAGCGTAAAATGACGGCTTTTTGGTGTTTTCTGTGTTTCTCTTTGCTTTTCACTTCGAAAGAATACTGTTAGGGGAAGAAGGAATAGAGTGAAGTAACTTTGTAGGAAAAAAATACCAAAATAGTTTTTTTTTTTCCCAAGCAATATCTAACAGCCTGATCCAATATGCCTGACAGCAGCAGGATCAAAGAAATGACTAATACATTTAAAACAAAGATGTATAATGTAGATGAATAGCCTTCCAACCATAGTCCACGTTATATCCAAGGATTCATCGATCACTTCCAAGCAGGTGATGCCACCTTTGCTAGAACCACCTTTTACCTCAGAAATTAAAGTTTCAAAAGATGCTTCTAGTAAAATCTCAACAACAGAATTGAAAAATAAGTTTCTATCCAGCCATGGAGAAACAGGCTGTGAGACTAAGCAGACCAGTGCAGACTGTTCTCAGCAATTTTTCTAGCAAAAAATCAAGCATTGGGAACAACGTGAAATACCAAGGGCAGAATATGATGTTAATGGAATGGCCTTAGACTTACTCAGGAACAGACATTACATCAAAGACTCGCGAGTGTCGTTGGATGTGGGATAAACCCCACAAATTAATACAGGGTCACCAGACATTTATTCTACCTGAGAAGACTTTGTACTTTTTTAATGGCTTCTCTTACAGTTAACTCAGCATTTATAAATGACAGCCATAGTAAGACATACAAGCCCTCTAACCTGAAAGATTGACTCAAAAAGGACAGGTCAAAGCACTGATAGAAAATCAATCAGTCTTTCTAATGTTTGGCGGTGCTAGGAAACAGCAAACAAGGCAGACTTTGCTTAAAATAGTCTGTGCAGTGTTGCTTAAGGTAAAGAAACGCATGTGTTTTAACAGTTTGAAACCACAAGATGTTCAGGGGTTACTAAAGCACTTGGGCTTATTTCCTTAAAAAAAGTGGGAATTTTGAATGTGGACACATAGTTTAGGGTCACAAACGGTAAGAGACACTTCCCATCACTCTCTTGAGGCACTTAAAACCAGAGCTCTGGAGTACCGTGGCCAGTAGAACCCGAGGAAACACATCCCTCTAGTGGCAAAAGTCTGCCAGATAAAGAGAGTACCCTTTATATTCCCTACATAGTTGTCAAAAGTGGTGTAGAAAAACAGCTGTACAGTTCTGAAAATGCATGGCAGGCATGCGTGTGGATGTCCTCAGGTGCAACTTGTCTTATTCGTCTTGTGTATTTCTTAATTTGTTCTTGGTTAATAATGGTTGCATGGCACATTTCCACTTGAGTTTTTAAACTCTGCTGGTTTACTTTTTTAATTCCAATTCACCCTAGAAAAGAAGCATTTCCCTTTTCGTCTCCAAAATCACTTATGTGGCCTCTCTATGCTAAATGCATTAGGAGTATAAAGTTCCAAGTTTTCATCTTCAGATTTTGTTGTCAAGACTTCTATTTTTATGTACTAGAAGTTGTGTAATCACACAGCAGAAGATGGTATCTGTTCACCTAGCAGTGATAAGATGACCCATAAAACCCATTAACTAATGTCAGCCTATACCATTCTCCCTGGATTAATCTTTCTCTTCAGACATCTAGCAATCCTTTCACAACCTTCAATAAGCAGTTTCCTATTTTTCCCTTGTTCATCTTACTAAGCCTGTTACAGGAAGCAGAAAGCTCTCTAACAACAGCATCAATAACTTGAATATATTGCTAAAAATGTTAGATATACAGCAGTTACTAGGAAAATACTTATCTTAATATTTGCCCACTGAGATTATTCCTTCTCATGAGAAGTTTTACATGATAGAGCATGGACTTTAGCCTAGGAACTGTGGGGTATTTTCAAGAGTACATTAAAGACTTAGGCTTATAAAATCCCCTAGAAATCACTAAAACGTGAATTCATATGCACCACACACTTTTTAATGTTCAAGAATCTTTCCTTTGCTTTCTACTACATCTGACAGTGTAAACAGTCATAGCTCTAGGCAAGCACTTCTGTCTTAATTCTGCCTTCTGAAAACACAGGAGATATCTGAGATAATAAAACCAAAGCCTTGTTAAAGACTGTCCTCTCCACAGCTACTTGGCATGCGATTCTCCATGTCACTAGATACATACTTAAACATGAAAGTTATGTGACAATGGTAAGTACCCCTCACTAAAGAGTTTTCTGAAATATTAACATATTACTGACCACCAACTGTGTTGCCATCAGTGAAGATCCTTTCTGCCACAAAGGGAGTATGTGGCTCTGTTTTAGATCTATTACCATTTAGAACAGGAAGCGTATATCATAGCAAAAGTATCTGTTATGCTTTTAAACCTCATTTAAAAACAAACCATTAAAAAAACAACCAAACCACCCCCCCCCAGAACAATGTAGAAAGATGTTTCAGAGAAGCCACTTTTTGGATGATCTACACAGAGAATTGTCCAGTTCAGAAAGATGCGAAGTCAGTCATCTTCGGGGTTTTTTGGTTTGGTTTTTTTTTGTTTTGTTTTTTTTTTTTAAGGGTCTGTTTAGGAAGTCTTTTACAGACACGGGTGGTATAGGTGGTGAGACTGGAGAAAATGAAAGAGCAAACAAGCATAAATTATGCATACACAAGAGGAAAAAATTTTAAAACTGGTGACAAAAGTAATAAAGGAAGACCAGCATGGCTGACACTATAAGGGATGAAGAGTATTAACAGATATCTAAAGAGAGAAACATTTGAGATAATGCAGAGAAAATGATAGCAGATGTTGAACAGTATGTAAGTTGGGAAAAAATAGTGAAAGACGAGTTTGACTACAGGTAATGAGAAAGAATTTCTCTAAAGTGGTAGATAAAAGATTCCAAAGATCTGAAGGTATTTTTCTTACTTAGTTCATCTTCCACAAATTATCTGACACAAGGCATCGCGAGAGAAAAAGTCTTACAGTTTCCTATACCTTTCATTTAAAATTTTAAATACTAGAAATCACATGATGAAGACTAACATTACCAACTTGTATCACATATATTAGGTCACAAAGCTCATTCTAATTGATGTTCTGGAAAAAAGGTGTAATTGTTGGCAACTGCCATAAGGCATTTTCTCTAATTAACAATGTTAACAGCTATATGAGCTTAACTGCCACACAATTTCTTTCCAATTATCAGAATCAACACAAACATTGCTTATTTTTATTAATGGCTGTCAGTAAACAGCAGGATGTATATTACATAGCTCAGTCACAATTTGTTGGTATGCATTTAAGACCATGCATACTATCTTAAAATCGTTTAATTGTCAGGTGTGGATTTCATAGAATTGTCAACAAGATTTTTATCTGGTGTTTCATAATGATACCAAGGTCCATCTCCCCTGTGTCTCATCAGTCTGCGTGCCTCCAACTGCATCAGCCTAAAAAAAAGAGCAACAAACACACTCAGCATGAAGTTTGTTGCTTTTGATCATACATATATTGATGTTTAACATCATGGCATTACTGACAACAGCAATAAGTTTAGCATCTATGGTTTATAAATACTACTGAATCATAGGCAATACCAAAATATGAAGGGTTCAACTAAAACATGAGCTATTACATCCTTCTATTTCAATTTTTTTCAGCAAGTCATCTCACAAAAGAGTAATAAAAATACTTGCAGTTGTGTCAAACATTCTTGCCTCATAAGGGGCTATACAGTTTTGATACAGTTTTCAACTAAAAATAAATAGGAGCACGGAAATCGGAAGTAAATGTGATGGTAGAAGGAGCTATGCTGTCTTGGTCCCAATAGCAACAGTTTATGGAATTCAGACTTTCTTCTACCACCACAGTTTACTCCTGAGTATGTATAGAATAAACTCAGTACAACGTTGTTGCTGCCCACAAAATTTTCAACAGCTACAAGGAACATGATCAGTCCTGTAAACTGTCATTTAGCTACTCAATTAAGCTATGAACACTAGCAGTAGCAAAAAGAGCTGTCCATTTCCTGACTCAGGAAGACAGAGCTATACCTTTATAAATATGAACTGTTTTGAAGAGACAGTTGTTTTACAAGACTGCCCTTGGATCATTCCAGTTCTGGTAATCTTAATACTGAGAAGGCAGGGACTACAGATACTGTAACTTCCACTTTGCCACCAACCAGTGCAGCAAGCACCCAGGGTCAAGTGATACATGGATAAGCACGTTATGTCAGCATCCAACTCAGTATGTTAAGCAAAATAAGAGAGTCAACTACAGTATGTATCAGTATTTTAAAACCCTCAACTATATAACATACCTCATTTCAGTTTTCTTTGCTTCGATATCAAGCAAAGCCATCTCTTTCTCATAGTCCTTTTCAGGGGGGTCAAGGAAGTAACGAGCTATCCAGCGACTTATAGGGTGCTGGAAAATATAAAAGCAGAGGTTATTTATGCAATTTCCAAGTAGAAATGTTGTCATAACTCAATCATTTTGCACGTTCCCGGTCTTGAAAACACATCATCAGCACTATGGGTGCTGCCATTCAAGCCATAATAGTAAAATTAAAAACATGTTCAACTATTTGTAATGTCAAAACCCTAAAAAGCTGTATTTCTTTTGCCATTTTTAATGCCAAGATAACCTGCAGATGACTATTCTGTAGCAAAATTAAAAGTTAATGGAAGACATGTGATTTATTTTCTTTCTGTTGAAGTAAAGTTCCTTAAACTGCCACTGTAATCACAGAAACGGACTCCAAACCTTACTGTGATCAGTAACATTTTAAAGTTTTGCTTCCACATAGGAAGAAAAGTCTAAATGAGTCAAAACAGTCATAGTAGTATTGCTGAATTCAATAACTTCCTATCAAAACCAAAAAAGTGCTTGCAGCAAGAAGCCAGGGACTAATTTTAAGAAAATACAATGAAACGAAAAAAGTATAACTTTGAGTTTCTGACCATAAAAATCTTCAGTTCTAGATATAAAAGCATGTGTGATGTTGGACTTTGAAACAAAAGAAAGTAAGGTCACTTTAAACTCCAGTATCTTAAGATGTTGTAGTTCTAGAGCAAGAAACAAAGAGAAAAACTGCACACTAAGAATAAAGAGAACAGAAGACTGTTCTTACTATTTAGGAATATTATAAAAGAATTCTTGGCATATATCTTCAGCAGTTTACTGGCATAAAGTTACAGATCATTTGCATCTACTTGTGTCAATAAACAGATTTCCTACAGCAACACGCACGTTCCATAAAGCAGAAAATAAGCAACTTTACTAAAATCATAATTGCACAATTCAAGTTCTACTACACTGATACCCAATGGCAGGGATATGGCCATCCTCATTACCACATTCCACACATTTTACTCCCAAAAGCATCATCAGGAGGAAGGCTGTCCATAACATGCTGCCCTTTTACACGTTACACTCACTTTGTAGTATTCCCAGTACTCTGGGATATAACCTTCAGGAATCTCTGCAAGTTCAGCTTCACCTGACAATGAAAGAAGGGGAGGAACATTTAATTCAAGTTTTTTTTTTTTTTAAGTACCTTATATTCTGCCTTTCACATTCAGAAAAGATCATTATTTCACACAGAGAGCGCTTAATCCCTCAATCTGAACTTTATTCAGAAAAATTGGACTTGTATTTTTTTCCAGACACTTCATACTGCATGTATCTCACAGGCTTTAAGCCACACAAGAGAAGTGTGAAATTAGCAGCTGTACAGAAGAAATAACTAAGATCGAGTCCACAGAAATGCCCTTTAAAGTATTGAGCTAAAAGCATGGATTTTTTCCTAATTTCTCTATTAAATTAATTCCATATTATTACAGTAGTAGATTTAAAACACATATTGCCAAGCAGAATTTTGGCTTTTTTGCTAGATAAAAATCAACAGTTGCCGTGTATGCAGCCTTCTTAAAGAAATATGTAAAACAAGATAATACAGACTCCTCATCTGAATACTGAAGAACTGTTCACTAAACCTCACTGATGTTTGAAAGGCTGTCAGAAGATGGAATTTCTCCATTTTTAAAAATGTGGAAAACTTTTTTTTTTTTAAAGCAACAACTACAGAAAAATAAAAATACTGGGAGCATCTTCTAGGTACTTATACAATATTACCATAATTGTTAGGCCTATTTCATAGTCTTCCAAAGACCAAGCCTTAAAGGATCTATTTTTTCTATCCAGCGTGCTTAGTTTCTATTTAATAATTTTAACCGTGTACTTAGCTTAGTCAGGACAGAGCACTCACCAATGAAGACGTTGACATATGTTATGAATAGTGCCACTGGTACCCCTGTCAGAAATACATAGAATTTCTGTATAGGGAAGAAAAAGAAAGAGAAACAGTATGGGAAACTCAGAAGCCTGACAAAATTTAGATGAAGTTAGTCTGCAAATGATGTAACAGCCAATAATTCTTAGATTCACATTCATAGGTTAGATAGGGATGTTGTAGGCAAAGACATATTGCTGCTTAAAATGAGTTAATTAACAAACTAGAATACAGAAACAGCGATGCCGTGTCAGTCCATGAGCCTATTTAGTTGTGCTTTCAATCTCCCGGGGGGGCAGTCTCTGCAGAAGCAGACAGTAATGCTTTCCCTGAATGCCATCTCAGCATCTTGTGATGACTGGCTTCAGCATTTAACTGTAATGAGGCACTACCATCAATGCAATGTAATCCAACATAAATACAACCACTGCTGGCTTTGGTAACTGTGGAAGACCTATAAAGGAAGCCTGATCACATGAAGGGAGTTGTATCAAGTTGACTGTTACCTGTCATAATAGGCTTTATCCGAAACCTAGTTTTTTAGGGGTCAAACTCAGGTCAGGCTTCCCAAGTCTAATCTCTGGTGTTAGTGGGTTTAGGTAACTGAAGGCAAACCCTGCAGAAGAGTAACTTAATAGGTTTTAAAAAGGCGGATGGAGCGGAAAGCATTTGGAGGATACGCATACATGAATAGAGACACATAATTTAAGAATGCTACTACAGCATTAATTTAAGTACCTATCACAATCTCTGCCATTTAGCCAATCTTTTTACTTCATCTGGCCCTGATTTTATGACGTATGACAGAAAATTTTTTAGGAGGAGGACTGAAAATTCTGGTGTATGTGAATAGTGCCAACCACATGTTAGATGCTGTCACGTAAACAGTAGGGAAAAATTCTATTTTAGAGACTCTTACACCATTTGCAAGAGATGTGTTATACTGAGTGTAATAAATTTGGTTTTCACTCACCAACAAGTTCAGAAATCGAGTGTCATAAAAACTTGTTGCCTTGATAATAAACATTCTCTTCCCATGGCTGCTGCTATGTCGTACGGGAGCTGAAAATTGAACCAAAGTGTTATGTTTTCTTCTCCCTTTGGCGATTGTGCCAGGATAAGGTCAGCGATGCATATGAAAAAACCAAAAGGTATTTTTCCTTCCCAAGTTTAGACATAGATCTATTCCTACCTGTCAGTCCCAACAAATAAGTCACTGAACGTCAGTCACTATGCAGGGCCAAGTAAGCTCACAGATGAGCCCGTCAGCAAGTCTGGCCTCCCGCCAACGTCGATCCACGTTCTACCCGAGAAGTGTAATTTCTCAGCGGCACGGAGACACACCTCGCACCCCCGCGAGGGACCTTCCTGCGCGCTCAACGCCTTTCCTACACCTGCTCACCCAAAAGGCAGACCCGCCGCGGCGGCCCGCAACCACCGCCGCCCCAGACCCGCCTTCCCGCCCCGCAGACAAGGTTAGCGGGGAAAGGCCCGAGCCCAGCGACCGCCCTCAGCCG